TTTCCTATATATATATATATATATATATATATATATATATAGAGGGAGTGATTTCATGGAACGGTTGTATAGTAATATAATTCAATAACCTTCAAAAGTCATGTTAAACTTATTTGTTTAACCCCAATTTTTAAATATACGTTGTTTTCAATCTAATGAACAATCACAAAAAAGAAAAATTTGAAAATACATTGCAAAATATGTTTTTTGAGTGCAACTAATATAAGCCGTCCATTTTAATGAGATGCTTAGATCAAGGCCTCAGAAGGATTTTTTTCTTTCCAAAATTTTTAGATTGCTTTAGTACCATTAGATTAACAATGCTAAAAGTGAAAAATTGATTCTGAATTTGTAAAGGTCTATATGTTGAAATTCACCAAATAGATGGTTGAAATTCATTGTTGGAGGGCGCTCATTTTGACTATATCTAAGGTGCAAATTGAATTTTATTTTTTTGGTATTGATTATTGGGATGAACGGAGTGTGTGTGAAAAATTTGAGGTCATACAAATGTACTAAATATGGTTTTCTAGAAGTATGGTTGCATTATATTACTATACAACTGTTGCATGAAATCATTCCAGTTGTATTGTAATATAATGCAACAATCTTCAAAAACCATGTTAGGGTCATTTATGTGATCCAAATTTTAGAATATACAGTCTTTTCATTCTAATGAACAATAACAAAAAAAAAAAAATTGAAAACACAACCTCAAAAGTATTTTTTTAGCCCAATTAACATAGACCGTCCATTTTGATAAGAAGCTTCGATCTAGGACTTAGGAGGATTTTTTCTTGTCCAATTTTTTTAGCTGATTTTATTATCATTAGATGAACAATGTAAAAAACGAAAAAAATGATTTTGAGCTTGTAAAGGCTAAGATCTTGAAATTCACAAAATGAATGATCTAGATTCATTGTTGGAGGGGACTCATTTTGACCATATCTAGGATTCAAATCGATTTTTTTTTTTTTGGGACTGAATATTGAGATGAAGAGAGTGTGTGTGCAAAATTTTGTATCATACAAATACCACAAACATGGTTTTCTAGAAGTGTGGTTGCATTATACTATGATACAACCATTGTATTAGATCACTACCTACTATATATATATATATATATATATATATATATATATACCTAAGATTTCACATGATTTGGATTTGCAGAAAAAAAAATTAAAATACGAAATGAGGTCGTATCCGTCACATTGGCCCGGATTGAATCTGGGCCGTTAGGCCTATATGTAGTTGTAGACTAGAAGGCCTACGCCAGCATTTCCCTATATATATATAACTTTCTTACTAGTCTTAGCTATTTGCAGAAAAGGTTGGAAATTTCCAATTAATATATATTCTAAACATACTATACAGTGAGAAACTATGAAAATAGCTCACCTTTCCCCCAGGAAGACCTCCCTTTCCATTAACATAGACAGGAGGACAATCAGTGTTAAACACACAACCAATATCCGCACCCAGCTGCTTCAAACCACTGACTAAGTCACCAATAGGTCTCTCTCTCATTCTTGGAACTCCATCAAGCACATATCTGAAGGAGATAAGTAAAAAAAATAGTGTTTCAAATCATGTTCTTATATGACAGTAACTTCTACAATTTTATCAACAAATGTGAGCATAGAAGGGACCTCGCATTTCCTCCAGCAGCAACGACTGCAGCTGTCAATGGACGCATTGCTGTTCCTGCATTTCCCAGGAAGAGTTGGACCTCCTCAGTTGAATCCTTCCCAACTGGAAAGTGGCCCCCACTGCCTTCAACAATTGCTCTTTTATTCACAGCGTCCGCTTCCACATTCAGACCAAGGGTGCGCAGTGCTCCAAGCATGTAATGGACATCTTCGCTGTTTAATAAGTTCTCAACTACAGTAGTTCCCTGAAAGAAAATAATAGAGAGAAATATCTTAACAAAGAAGGATGTATCATCTAAATAACAACTTTGTTGGACACGAAAGTGGTATGCTCACAAATGAAACTTGGGCATCCAGGATTAGGAAAAGACAACTTATCAATTGCCTCTCATGGTTTGTTAAGGGATAAGAAAGAAGTCTCGATCCAGTCATCACAATGTGAATCTCCATTAGATGATCAAGCATGGGATGGAGACCCTTACAACTTAATAATTCGCATGAATCGGCAGATAATGACCTGAACGCCTCATCAAAGATGGGTAGAACAGGCAAATGGAATGAGCTGTTTAATAGTAAAAGACAAGAATACAAGGGAGTCTAATCTGATAAAATGCCATTAAGAGACATTAGGTTCTAGTTTGGACAGCATATACTAAAAAACAGAGAGTCACGAGCAGAAAACAACTGTGCGAAAGCTCCTGCAAAGGTTCAATAGAGAAAATATGAAAATTGGAAAGGGCCATTCGGTGATAATGGCGAAAGAAAACTTAATATCCTTTCACAGAGTATTTAGCTGATATATTATATTTGGATTGCTGTCATAAAAGTGATGTAAGAGGGCCTAGTGACACAACCATCTAAATTCAAGGGAATCCAGCAGCATATGAGTGTTGAATTTGGCGATTGGCTTAGGGTTTGTTGCATATGGTAAATTGAGTCGGTCCAAGCATCTCTTCAGTGTGTGGTTTCCTTTAAATTAGGTCCTCTAAGATTGACTCTTTTTTTCTTTTATTTATTTTTCTCTCTAAGCTGTTAACACAATCTCAAGAGGGAGAAATGGAGGAAAGGGCACGAAACATAAGCGATTAGATTAGTTTCGAGTTTCGAGTGATGACAAATGAAGAGGAGGAAGAAAGGGGGAAATAATACCTGGGAGAGAGCGGCGAGGAGGAGGACACGGTTGGAGAGGGATTTGGAGCCAGGAAGGTTGACAGTTCCGCTGATCTCCTTAATGGGTTCCAACACCAACTCTTCCTCCTTTGATGGAGATGCCAGAGCAGAAGCCCTAACCCTAATAATCCCCTGCCTCCGACTAAGGCCGCCTAAGGGAGATGATGGGGAACTGAGTCTCAATGAGGTTATCTTCCTCCTGGTGGGAGCTGCTGCAAGGTCTACGACCACAAATTCATTGTTGTTGTTGTTTTGAATGTGGGAGAGAATAGAAGGCTTGGCAACGGTGGCCTGGAAACATGTAGCCGCCATCTTACCAGGCGGGCGATGCGAGAGAGAGAGAGAGAGAGAGAGAGAGAGAGAGAGAGAGAGAGAGAGAGGAATTAAATTGCAGAAGAGAGAGAGAGATCAGGGATACCAACTCCTCTTTTGATCATTTATAGCTAATTTACTACTACTGCTTCCTTATTTCATAACGATAATGGAAGAAAAAGAGTAGAGTAGAGTAGTGATTGAGGTAGGCGTGGGCGCGGGCGCGGGCGCGGGCGCGGGCGTGTGAGTCAGAATTGGAGCGCCGCCCGCCCCTCCCTTCCTCACTGTGTGTGGGACCCGCCATACCTACCCACCCGCCCCTGCCCTGCGCACTTCCTTTCCATGAGTTTGGTGGCAAGCGAGCGTGCGTGCGTGCGTGCGGTAGTTAGGTTGTATTTGTTGAGGGTTATGGCAGGGTCAGTTGGCGCTACGTTGCATCTGGCCAAATGCATCTTGAGGGCTAACCCTATGCGCTCGGTGAGAGTTAGGTGGATGGCGGCTTCGTTCTTGTTAAGAACCTTTTCTTATTTCTCATTTGACCTCAAAATTGCCTTGAAAGACATTGAAATGGCCCCACCATCCCTTCTTTTCAATGTTATGTAGCTGCGTTTGAGACAGAGAAATGAAAATGTCCGCGGCCTTACCCCACAAGAATAAAAAACAGACAAAAAAAAATTCATCTCTACATCAAAATTTTTATTTTTTATTTTTTATTTTTTCAATATTTTCTCTCTGTAGACAACTTCAAGGTGTAAGGAAATAAAAAGGGGATGTACGGTTGTTGGGTGATTTTTTTGGTTGAATAAAAAAAATTGAAGTTTAAGCATTAAAAAGAAAAAGCGTTTCTAGCTTTCTTTCCTCTCTTTCTTATGCTTGTGGTGCATGGCAGAGCGCTCAAATCCCCACATTTATACTCTTTTACGGTTTTTTTCTCAGTTTTGTTTATATCAAGAACGCAACCGGTTGTCGGTTGGGGGTAAATTTTCAGCTACATCAACAACCCTATGTTCATGCAAGCCTCTCCCCAACTACTACTCATTTTTCCTTCCGGAAACTTTATACTTAATTTGAGGATAAGAGATAAAGAAGAATCAGGAGTTGCTGAGGAGGTCTGAATTGAATTCGCAAGTCTCATAAATATCACCTGGCGAACGTTTGTTGGGGATATGGTATCGCACTTCTTGGTCCATCGGGGATATGGTATCGCACTTCTTGGTCCATCATCAGCATAAAACAAACTCGTACAATTTTTCGTTATTAGGAGGGAGAGGAACAAAACTCATAACTCCACATGTCACTCATGCTGTACTTATGCTTAAATCGAAGCTTTCTTTTTTTTTTTTTCAAAAAACTAACGTACATATCGGTTCATTTTGACATTATTACAGAAATGCAGAGAAGTTTATGTCATTACATGTATACCCATTATTTCTCCTATGTAATATTTTTAAAAAAAATTGATGGATCTACCCTCTTCGATTTTTCAATAACCAAATAGTTCAAATTATTGGATTTTGAAAAACTGAATTAATTAGATTTTTAGTAGTTTAATAACCGAAAACATTGAACATTTTGGTACTTGAAAACCAAAAAAGGCAGTTCTGTCATTTCAAAAAAATTATTATGAAGGGAAAAAAATAGATATGCATGTAATGGAAACTTCACGGTATTTCTATACTAATGTTAAAAATAACATATATATGCATTATTTTCTCCTCCCTTTTATTCTCCTTGTTAAAATTAAGGTAACATATCATGAACAAAATGAAGAGACGAATTCTTACCGAACACTGAAATGGTGTCTGGAATTTCAATGATCATGTCAACCAACCTTAAACGCCTGCCTACTCTTGGATTTCGAGTCTCAACCTACACTAAGGAATTCATATTCCAGCAAATGCGATGAGCAGATTTAACCAATCAAATTGTCATATTATTTTCTAATTTCATATGTAAAATATTTTTAAATTATTTTTCTTTAATTATATTTATAAATATACAACTACACTCCAAAACTCCAAAATTCAGATGAGCATCTTATTTAGATAAAAAACGTCCCAACCATAACCATTGGCAGGGTGCTTACTTTTCTGAAATAAATGCAACCAAAAAAATTTATTTTCAACTTTGAGGTTGGTCAATGTCAAGATTAATTTCACATGGTCAAGATTAATTTTGACCACCTTGTACATAGTATACATTCCCCATTTGGGCCCCTAAAAACCAAAATACAAACCCAATAAAACTCCCCAGGGTATGAAGTAAGGAAAATGTTCATGGTTGTGATTAAATCTAAGAAAACCAGGGGTGCTTATAGCAAGATGAGTACAAAGGGAAAAATGCTCCAAAGAGATGCGTCACAGGACCGTTTATTGTAGCGTTCCATGACCTGTAAATAATATCCACAACAGTTTGATGTAAAAATACAAAGGCAAACTAGAGAGAATTATCAGGAGACGGAAAGGATTCACTCAGCCACCTTAATGGGTTGACCAAACAACCATCACTACTGGGCGTTGATTGGTGGGCTTGTTCGATCTTCTACTCGCTTAAGAAGCTATAGCTTCCATTGGGTAGTATGGAAGTATAAGCTTCCTGATCAACACTGTTTTGGACGCCATGGAAAACCATAGCTTCTAAAATAGCATAGCACTTCCACTTAAACAACACAAGAAGTGATACAGTAACTAGAAGCCACGGCTTCCTATTATTAAACATTTTCTTACAATATGCATATAAATTTCATACAAAACAGTTGCTTAAATAAAACGAAAACAGAGAATCAATCAGTTTCCTAAGCTTGAGCTTAGGTTTTTCTCCTCTTTTTTTTTTTTTGTTGATGCCTTGAACTCATAAAAACACATAGAAAAGATGCAGAGGCAGGCAATTATATCTAGATAAGGAAAATCTTTGGGTGAAATTTAAATCCACCAATAAAAGCAGTACATTCTAGATTCAACACTCAAACAAGGATCAGCTAAGTTCAAAAAAGGCCTAAATAACCCATAGTTTAGGATCCGAACATCATCCAAAGAATCCTCTGGACACAAGTATTAAACCAATACACTAAAATTGGACTGCACTGTAACCAAGCTGATTTTTTCCAAAGATTGCATAAGCGTAATACCCACAAGACCTCAGCAAACCCAAGATTCCCAAAATTATATGACTCCAAGCAAAACTGCTCTAAGCCACGAGGGTGCTGGCAGTCGTTGATTCACTGCAAACCAGTAGAACACGTGTTATAATTGATAATCACAGTAAGTATGAAATACTAAGGGTGCATCACATAATTGCAGAGTGCTCCTCTTCCTGAATCAACAAGTTCTTAAAGCTACTATGTCATGGAAAAACCTTAAATGGATCAAGTGGTCACCACTTGGTCCACAGAAATGATGTACACAGATACATGAGAAACTCAGCAAGTACATGCAGAATAGCAGACAAACTTGCAAAGACATATATCTCCAGCATTATATACAAAAAAAAAAGAAGATATATATACACCACAAGATCTTAATCCAACGTTATACAACATCAAGGTCTCATACTCAACAGATCAGTAAGACAAAACATGTGCAAGCATGGCAGTTCTTATTCTCAATTAAATTACCATGTAGAATCTGTCCATCTCTACAAGCTTTGTGAATTTCATGTAATTCGTTTTCCAAATAGGAATGGGATTGGGAAAATAGTTGCCAGCAATACCAATGGACAGGCATTGGCATGTTGGAAAAGGTTTAGGTTAAACCTTCAGGACAACAATCGTATGGCATGTCTCCTTTTTTACATATAAAACATGGCATGGCATGGCATGGTTGACATATATATGGTATGGATTAGTATCAAGCATTTCATGCACACCTGCAAACAGGTTTCTAAGAACGTGCTTAAAAAAAGGAAGACGGGGCTGCTACAGCACCCTCTTCCACAAAAAGTGGAAGACGCAGGATGTCGTGTCTTCGACAAGTGGGGCCTTTTTGTGAAGGCCCCTCACAAACATGGAAGCTTGATTTCGTGGAATTTGGGATTTCCACTCTCAACAAATCAAACACACCCTAAAAGACTCAAAACATCACTCCAAGTTAGGATTGTATGTTCCTTACGGTCAAAATTTATTTAAAAAATGGATTATTAAGGAGGGCAACATTTCTACATATGAGTCTGGGGACTCATAGAAACCATATCCATATTCAAAATAGTTATGTGGACATCTCTTGTTGTATCAGCTTTTTACATCGAAGTACTAAATACTTTAGACACATACTAGATACGACATTGTATTGCTGTCAATGCAACACTGTTTATATGCTTAATACAACTAAGGGATGTTATCTACCCAACAAAAACTAAGTGATGAAGGAGAGGCAGTGCTCATGCACACTCATGCTGCTAAGCTCCTACTCCACCATTAAAGGGTAGAGCCCAGATGACACAAGTATCCAAAAATAGATTCCACAAGTACACCATCGTCCCTCTTGGGTTTGTGGAAATATATTTGCTTTCTGTTCATACTTGTGCTGTTGCTTAAAGTATACCACAAGTAACTGTAACTATCACGTGGTGAATCTAATTCTTGAATATCATGAAAAGATGATTCATAGAGAAAATAAAACAAGAGGCAATTGCATAAGAAAATACTAAAACAGGAGGCAAATGCTTCAATCAGAAAGACCACACAAATAATATAAATGACTCACTATTTCCACACAGGTGGAAGTTTCTTAGTCCTCTTGTAGTATCGAGCCAAGCGATGAATCCTGCTCTCAACCAAAATTAACCTGAATTTGGAGTCCTTATCTTTTCGGTTTCTCTCAAGGTGTTTCCTGATGGCCACCGCTTTCTTGATGAGATGGTACAAATCCTCTGGGATCTCCGGAGCAAGACCTGATAAACATATTCTGATTGAGATTTTCGCGGGAAAATCTTTATAAAAAATACGAAGGACAGTGTAATTCCATAACCCAAGTAAAATGATACAGAGGGCAACATGCAAAGCCCGTACCATGAGCCTTCAGAATCCGTAAGATCTTATTTCCAGTAACACTTTTAACCTGTGCAATTCCATGGGAATCACGAAGAATAACGCCTATTTGAGAAGGCGTTAAACCCTTCTTTGCAAACTTGCAAATATTTTCTTCTACCTGCCAAAAAATTTATTATTAGGAATTGTGCAGTGTATCCAGTTTTTCTTAACGAAACCAGTATAGTAAACGACCAAAACTCCTAGCATACACAATGCGAGGAAATTACATATAAGATTACACAACTTTCATTTCTGAGAGCCAAAGCAAAATTTTCTCCTTTTTTTTTTTTTTAAGAATATCTGCTACAGATAGTTGAATGTCATAATTGAGGAATGGTTGAAAACCAGGAGACAAATCGCACATACAACTAAGGCAAGTGGTAACAACACAAATTGGGGACAGAAACCAGCAATTAAAGTTATTGGTGCACAGGCAATATAAAAAGATCGAGATATGAAAACTAAGCCAATAACCACGACAATTTGTCATTGTGCCAACATCATTCTGTTGAAATGGTCTTGGATATCCAAAGACCAGGCATCAAGACCTACATATACTCTGAAAAGCTCTCCAATGGTCACAAGAAACATTGTCATTTAAACCATTGCTTTACCATAGAATAATGATAAACGAAGCCCTCCATCTCCAATTCAAACTTAAAAGTAACAAGTACTGCTTGGATACATGATACATCTTTGGTTGTTTGTCAGATTGTCATAAAGGCCAGTTCAGGGAGCCTCATACCCTAAACACAACTCTGAAGTGCTCCAAATCTCAGGCAAGAAGTGGTGAAATTCTTTTTCTCTAATATTTCAGTGCCAAGAAAAAACAATTTAGCCACAGAGGTAGCCTTGCGTCACTGATTGTACCATCAATGTTATATGCCTCAGCACAAAGACAGCACCTTAAGCAGACCAAGGGCACGCTGTTGGAAGTGGGAGTATGTGTATGAGCAATTTGGTAATCGAAATCAGGGAATGAGATAGGCTAGAAGAAACCTATGATAGGAGGCACCTTCCATACAATGCATATCTAAGGGATCGCCAATTGTTGGGGGATCAAAATTCCAACCTGTTGAGAATCGCACTCCAAACCATTTGTGACGAGGTAAGAAATTATTAAGGAACGGATTCAATATGGCAAAAGACTCACAGTTCTAACTAGAGCATCCTTGAACAAGAATCCCTTAGTATTGGAATTCACGTATTGAACACCCTTAGCCAAGGACGCAACATTCCCCTAGTATTCAAGGCTCTCAACTGTCCTAAACAAGGGTTTCCCCTAATATTGGAATCAATGTATTGAGTGCCCTTAATCAAGGTTCCCCAGTGGCCCCTAGTATTAGAAACAAGGTCCTCCCTGAGTATGTCAGCCCAAATAGACGAGGCTAACTTTAAAAATCAGACATTCATTTTGGGTTCCCCTATTAATAGGAATTTTGAGTCAAATATTCCATTAAAAAAGGGGAATTCTGGATTGAAGTTGACTTACTAGACACCCATCCTTCTTCATTGAATAAAAGAAGTACAGTTTTTATTTTAATTATTAATAGATTATAAAGAATATAATGTTTCAAATAAAATTAAAAATAAAGCATTGTATAATATTATTGCAATCATGCTATAACCATTGCAATATGAACTTATGTAAAATCATAAAATAGTTTTCTTTTTTGTATCATTCTATATAACCTTCAGCGTAACACATCTAAAACTCTCAACATTTGCATTCGATCTTGATTCCATATTATCAAAAACGCTAATCCCATGTTGATCGAATCATGGATTGGTGCACCTATGAACCTTGGGATTTGATGTTGTGGAATTTGGAACCCAAACAACTCGTGATCAAGATTCTAAATAGGAGGACAATGACAAGGAGGCCAACTCAAAGGAGACAGAGGAAGAAGAGCGATATGTCAAGGAGGGGGAAGACTGATGATGATAGGTTGGCATCATCAGATTCATATGCAACTACAAGCGATGATGGGGATGGTGGTGGACCTTATGGTGGTGATGATGATGATGACAATGAAACTCTGTTTGAAGTTTGAGGTATTAAGATTGGTTTTCTTGTCTTGTTTTTAAGTCTATTGACTTTTGTGACGTTGTGGTAGTAATGATGTCGATGGAGTTGGACTGGCTACAAGATAAAGTGACAGATTAATGGCAATGTAACTGTCAAATCCATACAATGTTGTATGACAGAATGATTGTTATTGTATTTTCAAGTTCAAATGTTCAACTTTCAAATTTGGGCTTTTACAATATTTTAAAGTTCTAATAATTCAAGTTCAAAACCCATGTATGCATGCACAACAAAACAATGAACACAAAACACGCTAAAATTGGGATTTATGTATAAATAATTAAGTTTAAATTGGGAAGCTTGGTATCCAACCCAACCCCCAACGAAAAACACAACCTTGAGGCCCTAACAAAACTCCTCCCCCCCCCCCCCCCCCACCCACCCCACCCCACCCCACCCCAAAGAAAGGAAATAAAAAATTAAAAGTTAAAGAAAAAAAAAAAGCAGTGAGGACCCTGGGCCGCCTTGGAGGCGTACTCTATTAACAATGTTAATTAAAAAAAATCCACTTCCTCATAGAAAAGGACATGTGATACTTCACAAACAGGTAAGTCAGTGTTTTTTTATATCAAATCAACTGGTCCTTTGTGCACAGACAATTTTGTGCACAAGTCGTCAGAGGCATGAAGAACAGATTCTACAGAGTGACATCTCTTCTAGATTTACCAATTATTCAGTTTCAACTGCTTTATCTAGTGAAGTAAAAAAGTAAATCCAGTTAAAAAGTCCCAAGAAAGACAGAAATTCTTTTGGGAAAATAACAAGCCGAGTGCTCCAATCCCATTTGCTTTTAAATAAAATTAAATAATAAGAATTGATCAATTCTTGTGAACTTTATTTAATTCTTTGCATAAAGAATGCCCTTAGAAACCACTCGAGCGTCCTCTAAAACCCCCCATGAAGTTCCGGAACTCATCATGCCTGAATTAACTTGATATGTAATCCGTAGATTTAATGGGCATTATATCAGATGAACAATTCATCATGTAGGGGCATTTTGGGTAAGAATATTCTCATTCCTTAATCACTCAAACAAAATAAATAAATACTTCTTACTATGAAAGTTTAGACACACAAAAGGGATAAAAATTGCTAAAAAATGGGAAGCGGCAGGATCTAAAAGTTCATAAAGGTGCCATCTTTGAAGCAGCTTACAGAGGCAATTACATAGGGAATGCCATCCAAGAGAAAATGAAGAGAAGAAACATTTCTCCTCATATAAAGCATGTCTCCAAATTCTTAACCAACATGATTCCATACATGAGAACAGGAAACACTCTTCCAGATCCAAACCAGAAGAACTCTCAACTCTCAGTCTCTCCATATCAAAAACAGGAGTACTCAATCGCTCTTTAATCTAATAATTTAATTAACGTGATACAACGGCAGGTAGAAACATGGCATTTAACTCAACCTCCATTTCTTAGACACTCATATTAATCCTATAACACAGTTACTAAATAAGAAGCAACCTAAGCAGGACACATACAAACAAGCTCCAAACTCAAGTTACTAGTGTAGACCTCGTCAAGCATTGCTACAATTCTGCATCTCTGTATCCAGAGTACACAGTAACCACATCAGCCAATCCCATGAAACTAAGGTAACACGAGGTAGAGAAGTAGAGCATAGTGAAAATGGCACAGGATATGGAAGGAGAATTGATGGTCATGCTGTGCCTCTGATAGGATAATGGGTACTTAAGAAAGACAATACACAACTACAATCACGTTGGAGGGGGCACAATTGAGAGGGAGTATTAGTTTATCCGTAACAATAGCCCAGATCAACTTAAGACCACTGAAGAAGAAGTCACTAAATCAACACTTACAATCAAATGCGTAAGATTTCATCTATCCACGAGTCCATTTGTTACCCACAAAAGGGCCCTCATTGTAAGGAACATAGCTTTAAGGCCTTAGTTTTTTATATGCATAGTAAGAAAACGACCCCTTCTAGAAGACCATCATATAATTGTTGCACGAGTTAGGGTTACAATTTATAACAAAATCATGATAACAACGATATGACATAAAATGAATACTGGGAAAGCAATGGACCTAATAACAATCGATAGTAAACTACATATTCATTGAAGAACACTGAGTTTTACAGGGATGCAATGGAGTGGGCTATAGTTGTGAAACAAGCACTAGTAAGAGCACAAAATCAGTAAATATGAGAAGCATCTACAATATAATATTTCAGCAAAGAATGATGCATATGTCAGTGATGAAATCTGAGAACCGATTCACCAAAAAATCAACGAAGTGAGTAGCGGAGGATAGAGATGGACTGACTGCTTACCTCTGGAGAAGAGATCTTGAGCCAACTGGGAGGGGTCCTCTTGTACGGCAGCGCCGATGAAGAAATACCCTTACTGTCTCACCAAATAATTCAAACGATTCTTTAGGAGAGAAGGGAATGAAATTAGGCCAAACAGAAACATTTACAGTGCTAAGAGAAGGAAAAATAAAAGAGAAATGGAGAGGGAGGAGAGAGAGGTTAATAGATACCCTCTGCTGTGCATGCGCCCCATGATGAATCTAGTATCTTCCCTACCTTAGTCTCAGAGCACAGGACGCTCACCCAAATAAACCCTAAATCTACTCTCCCTCTCTCTCGCTCTCAGCTGCGCTCGGCTGCGGCTTATTTGCCATATATAAACCTGGAGTTAGGCTCGGGCTAGACCAGTACGTTCGAGAGGTTCGGATATAAAAATTGTTTTTACTAACTGGCGCATATACTATGCTCATGCGCGAGCATTTTATTCATTTTCTCCCACGCTCAAACCACCTACTAAAGATAATTTTTTCAGTATAAAATTTTGGAAAACACAAAATAGTTACTAGATAGTTATTTTTATAAAAAAAAAATTAATCTGTAAGTCATATGACACTTAGATCTATAAGTCATAGGACACTTAGATCTAGTCCTTTAAAAATTAGATGGTATATATTTAACATTGAGGTATAAGTATTTTTAATATACAGGGCTTCTCCGATAGGGAAATGTTTTTATGGGATCCAAACAAGATATGAGTTTAATGCGACCCTACTTTTTAGCCGTTTGATCTTAATCAAATGGCTACGATTGTTCATATCATAATGTCACCTTACTGTTTTATTTTAGAAAAACTTTATATAGAGCCGAAACTTTAAAAAATCAAATTAGAGCGTACATCAAAAATTTCACTAGAAGAGGTTATTTTGATGCCCAAATATCATCAATTTGATCATCTCGATATCAAGATACATGAACATGAGAAAAAAATGGATTTCAAGTTTAAGAAATAGTGTATTTTGTAATGCATTATGGACAGTCAATTTTAAATATTGTCAAGTTTTCATAGATCTCTCGATCTACACTGTTTTTGAAGCTTTAAACTTTATAAATAAAACTGAAAAATATATTTTAAGGTTATCAAAAATATTTTCAATATTGAAACCACATTTCTCGATACTATTTGAAGGTATGCTCTAATTTGATTGTTTAGAGCCTACGCTCCATACAAACCGTACCTTTTTATTTTTTATTTTTTTCTACTCGACATTATTTTATGAAATTTTGGACGTCCCATAAAAACATAGGGCGAACTTGGAAAAAATAAAAAAAAAATATTTTATGTAAAAATAAATGACCAAAATGGCCCTGAAAATTTTGGTGGTATTTTGGTAATATTTTATCATGAGAAATATTTTTTAATATTTTTATAATGTGTTGGGTATAGTTTCTATAAGGTTGCAACCTTAAACAATCCAATTAAGGTGCACTTCCAAATTTCATCAAAACATGTAATTTTGTGAAACAAATTCTTAGGACTATCTCAAAATCTATTTTCATATCTAATTATAAAATTTAAACCCCAAAAATGGTTAAAATCAAGTAGATCTATAAACATATGAAAATCTTGAAAATTGACGGTTTAGATAATGTATCGCAAGATGCACTGTTTTTGGGACTCAAAATCTTTTTTTTTTTTTCGTATTCATACATCTCGATGTCGAGATGATCGATTAGAGGTTTTTTCAACATTAAAACAACATTTCCTTATGGACTTTTAGGTACTTGAAAATCCATTACGGGGAAATGGATTTTCGAAAAATCCTCCATTTCAAGCGTTTAGGTAATTAACGAAGAAATGGGAAAAAGATACATATTACCTATTATTATGCCAAAAGAAAAATATATATTTTCCACTCAAAAGGGTAAGGAATGTATTACCGGCTACGCCCCAAGAGAGTATTCATTTGCTCCATAATAGTGTTTTTGATGTCCGACACCCAAACCTCTTTATTGTTCTCTCCTGAAAGTGTAGCTCTTTCTTTCTTCCCATCTCTCACTTTATGTATACATATAATATAGATATTGCTTCCTATCTCTCACTTTATGTATACATATAATATAAATATTTTTCCTCATCTCTTCACATCCAAACAAAACTTTGAACAGGTGTTCCAAAATGAAACTCTTCCCCCCTTTCTCTCTATAGTTTATACATATATAATATATATAGCTAATATATATTTATCACTTTTTAGTCTCTAGCTTCACTTGTAATCAAAACCTCATACATGTGTCATAAAATGAAGCCAATACAGCCCTTTAAGTAATGTACTTTAATTTAATATAAAAATATGCTCGTGAAATACATAATTTTGAATTAACATATTAGAAAGAGGGCAAAATATTAAGTAGTTAAAAAATAATGTGTATTATGATCAATTTCTTAAAATCATATAATAAAAATAGCATTTCACAATTGAACAATATTTTTATTTTAAATTTTTAGTTAAAAATAATATTAATATTAATTTATAGCTTTGTTTTTATAATTAGAAATGAATAAAAGTTATAAAAATATTATTAATATAACACCCTCTTCTTTCTATTGCTCAAAACTTCACTTCTTTTGACTGTGGTTGACATTCTAGTTATGCCATATGTAGTGATAGTTTATAGGCAAGTGCATTTATTTGATTTGAATGATCTAGTGTTTGTGCCTATCAGGCCTCGGCGTGAGATTTGGAAGATGGTGTTGCCATTCATTTTTTCCCTTCACAAAGTTTAGGTCATATCCACATCAAATTTGTGTGGATTAGTTTTGCCATATAACATGAATAAATGTCTCAGTCTTGGTAGATTTTTTTCAATGTAACTATTGATATCATGATATAAATTGAGGATGTGTTCGGTAGTTTTAATTTTAATTGATATTTTATCTTGAAAAGGAAAATATTAAAACCATACAAAAAAGCACATTACTATAGGTAAAATTCATGCAATATCTTCAAGCCAAAATGACTGTAATTCATTTCCCATATTTCTTCTGAAAGTAACCAAACAATAACAATATATTTCTCAAGTTGTACCCATATACTACCCAAATAACAATAATTCATTTTCAGAAAATGTATTACGCTAGTAATGTATTACAACAGTAATATATTTAATTGGTAATATATTTCCAGGTACCAAAGGGCCCATTAGAGCTAGTCTGTCAAAAATTACACGGTCTCTAAAAAAAATGAAATTTAGTCAATGAGGTATAAGTTTTTCTAATATATAAAGAGTTTATTTGGAAAAAAAAATATCCACTATATTTCGCCTCGAGAGAGGAAATTGATAGTATCCTCCCACAGGAGGAAATCTTTTGGCTTTATTAATTGCAATAACGAGGGGATTAACACAAAAATTATGGAGATCGCTTTGTATATTATATAATAAATAATATTTAAGAGGTGGATGAATTGAAACATAAATAAATAAAAAGTCCAAGAAAAAGCTGCTAAAGTAAAAATAAAGAGAAAGAAAATCAGCCTACTTTACGAGGAAATGATATAATTTAAGAAACTATGCAAATTGATAGTACGTTCCCTTGGATATATGATCCCCCACCACAATATCCTAATAAAATCCTAAATTTCAATTTCTTTCCTTTTAAATTGCTCATTGAAAAGTAGAGCTTAAATTCTAAATATGTCATATACTGCTAAATAGTTATTTACTTATTTATTTATTTTTATGGATCAAGTATACAGTTTGATCTTAAGGGAACCCATTAAGACCCATGATGTAATATAATGCAAAAGTTTAAAAACTATAAATCTTTAATTTTGTTATATAATATTTGTTGCAGACTGCACAAAGTTTAATATAGATGTGTATTTACATGCAAATTTGAAATTGGAAAGACTAATCAAAGTCCGATCCGTTTATCGTGTCTAAAACTAATATTTAAAGAGTTAAGATAGGTGGGTTCCGTCGAATTCATATCTATAAATAAATCAACATTAAAAACATATTCTTTGCAGTCGATCGAGTTGGCTTACAAAGTGTGAAATCCAAGAGAAATTAAAATAAAAGAAAACAAGAATAAAATAACCACCAAAACAATAAAACTAAATGATGATAAAATTAAGAAGTAATAAATAAAAAATAAAAAAGAAGAAGAAGAAAAAAGAAGGAACCTTGACACCCATACCACCTTACAGAGATTTTTCTCGGATATGAGATCTCTCTCTTCTTTTTTTTTTGCCAATTTTGATGTAAAACAATCCGTTTGAAAAATAGTCCTAGGAACCTACCTATTATGGATGTCTCAGTTTCTTAAGATAAGGATTTGGGATTTATAAGGATGTTTAGCTTTCTAAGGATTTCTAAGGATGTTTAGCTTTCTAAGGATGTTTAGCTTTGATGTTTAGCTTTCTAAAATAGGATCTTAGGTATATTCTCAAAATATTTAGGGCTGGACTATAGTTTGGGGTTGAGTATGGTTTAGTGTGTCTACACTATTTCTTTTTTTAGTTCTCAAAGTTAACTCTCTCTATATCGTCTCTGTCTCCTCTCTCTCTGAAAATAAAACCACACTCTCTAAAAAACCCAAAGTACATCTCTCTCTATAATCACCATCTATCTCTCTCAAACCTCCATTTCTCTCTTTCTGTAATCCATCCTAGTTTTAGGTTTTTTTTTGTCTAAAATCTGTGCAGCTTGATAAGGTTTTGATCTATGTGCAACCTCTACCATTCTCTCTCAAACCTCAAGTTCTCTCTATCTGTATTCCATCCTAGTTTTAGGGTTTTTCTGTCTAAACTCTGTGCAGCTTAGTAAGGTTTTGATCTATGTGCAACCTCTACTATTCAGGTCTTCCATGAATCAATCGGTGCTCTTTTTCTCTAACCTAGGTTCTTGCTTGTGCCCCTTATTCAAAAACTGCCAATTTTTTTTTAAAGTTCTTCAATTTTATCCGTCTTCCAATCCTCTTTCTGTTTACTTTCTCTTCTCTCTCTGGTAATTCATTCAAATCTTTATCTTCTCTTAGGCATTAGAACATGAATGTCCATTACCACTACCATTGGGAACATGGTTCTTCCTTGTAAAAACGAAAGACAGTCAAATAAAGTGCCATGTTCTCATTGGGAACATTGTTCTTCCATGTAAAAACATAAAAACATTGTTCTTCCTTGTAAAAACAAAAAAATAACAAAGTGTCATGTTTTGCAAAGCAGCAATGGAATTATTTTAAAAGAAACATGAATTCATGCATTTCATGAATTTTTTTAAAAGAAACATGAATTTGGGGAATCTCTTAAATGCGTGTTACAAAATTTATAGGGAGAGAAAATCCCTAATTTCGTGAAAGAATTGGAACAGATTGTGAACCTTGGGTTAGCCATTGTTCACGACAAACATCGAGCTTGCACTACTTTAGTTTTGCTGACCGATGAACCTGTGCAAAACAACAAAGAGACGCCAAAATGATTTCGCCATGCATCAAAGATTTGTGAAAAGAGATAGAGATAGCCCAAGTTTGAAGATGGAGAGAAGATTATGGTAGGAGAGATATAGAGAGAGAAAGAGAGAACCTTCTTCTTCTCTTTGGGATGGATGGTTTTGTCAGAGTTGTTGATGGGGATTGAAGCGGATGCCATTTTTGCATGCTGTAAAACCATATCCAATTACAAAAAATGCAACAACTAAACAAAAACTATTCTCTCTCCTCTCTCGTTCCTCAAAAAGTAACACATGAAACTTGAAAAAACAAGAAATTCAAACAACCATTTACCCTTTTCTCTAAAACCTCTCCCTTAATCTCTCTAAAACAGCTCTACACCAACTTTTTTCTCTCTCTAGAAATAACAAAGAGAACTTGAGAGAAAACATAAAATTCAGAAACCCAATTACCCTTCACTAGGCCTTTGCAATTTATTGCACCATTCAGAAACATCACATTATTTTTCCTTTAGAAATGTCTAGAGAGAGAGAGAGAGAGGGAGAGTTGAGAGAAAAAGATGATACAACGGTAGAAATTGTACCGCCGATAGTTTGTTCCAACGATGTAGGTCATTTGCACAGTTTTTATTTAAATCTTGTTTAGCAAAATGGCCTCTAATCAGATTATATCTATTATTAAGAGAGATGAAAAAGATACAATGTAGAGTGTCCCTGCACTTTGGGTATCAAAGAGAGAAATGGAAGTTTGAGAGAGAGAGAGAGAATGATTCTAGAGAGAGAGGTGTTTTGGATTTTTTTTTAGAGTATGTGATTTTATTTTTAAAGAGAGAGAGGAGACAGTGAAGATGTAGAGATGGTTAACTTTAAACACTAAAAAGAGATAAATGAGGTGTTAAGAGAGAGTGCCTTGAGAGATAGGTGTCATTTTAGTATTTGTGTGGGTCAAAAATTAATGATAAAAGGAGTAAAGGGGTTGCAAGATAGAAAAAATGAAGATTTTATGCTACAAGTAACATTTTCAAATCTTGAGTTTGATGAAAAATAAAAGTAAAAAATAAAAAGTAAGGAGATATTTTCCCTAAAATGTAATGCAAATAACAATCCTACTAACATTGAGTTTAAATTTAAAGCAGGTAAACTTGTCAAGTGCCTTTGATTCTTCTGATAAGTTTTTACTTTTTTCTCTTTTTTTTTTTCGCTATAATGCTTTCAAACACTTCTCTATTAGGTGATAGGTGTCACGGCATGACCTCTTATATTTCAGTCCACTATGAGTAGGGGACCACTTCCTCAACCGATCTAACAAATGATAAGGGAGAATGGGTGATGCCCTTGCCATAGAAGACAGGTCCAAATTTTTGTGAATTATTATTTTTGTTATATTTTTAATTTTATTTTTCAAGAGTAAAAGCTTTAAATTTCAAGTGATTTAAATATGTAAATAAATAAAAAAAATGCAATTGTGACCATTGAATTAGCTTAGATTCAATATTATCCATTGAG